TCTACTCCTTGTCTTTGGTTGAAACCCTGAATGACCAGTCTAGCTTTAAAATTTTGAATTGAGCCATTATATTTCTCTTAACTTTAAAATACCCATTTATACCTAAATGTTTTGGAACCTAGAGGTAAATTAGAGATTTCCCATGTACCATTAGATATAAGGGAATCCATCTCATCATTGATTTCCTCCTTCCAAAAAGCAGCATTCCTGGAAGTTATAGCCTCCTGATAAGTTTTTGGTGCATATTCTATATGAAGAAGAATTGGCATTTTATTCAAAACCATGTTATTCCTATCACCTTCAAGTAAGAAACACAATATCTTGAGAGTTAATGAAATCTGGACCAAGATTTTTATCTTTCATGGGTCTATCACTTCTTCTAGGTGCACTAGAAGATTCAGGTAGTTATCTCTTATTACGAGAGACAAGTTTGAAGTGGGGGTACTTTATGGAACCTGAGTGACAACTTGATCCAATTTTGTTGAATCATTTCTAAATTTATTCTCGAAATTTTTTACATCCCTTGATTCAAAAATAATATTTGTTTCCATGTCTAGAAGGCAATATGCGTTCGAGTTTCTTGCATATCCCATAAAGGCACTTTCTAATTCTTTTGGTTCGAGATTTTTCATTTTAGTTAAGGGAACCTTATAGCAAGACAAGCATCCCCATACTCTAAAATAACTTATATTGGGTTTCCGACCTTTCCATATTTCATAAGGCGCTACTTTGAGTTTCTTAGAGAGTACTCTATTGCTTACATGACAAGCTGTAAGTAAGGCTTCACCCTACAGTTTTGTTGGTAGATTTGCATTTACCAACATAGCATTAAGCATATCTTGCAACATACTATTCTTCCTTTCTGCAACACCATTCTATTGTGGTGTATATGGGGCAGTCATTTGATGAATCAAGCCATGACTTTCACAAAAGGAAAATAATGCTATCGAAAAATACTCTCCACCTCTATCATTTCAAAGTATTTGAATCTTTTTACCTTTTTGAGTTTCTACTTCAGCCTTATATCTTTTGAATCCATCAAAAGCTTGGTCCTTAGATTTTAACAAATATACCTAAGTATATTTAGAACATTCATCAATGAAAATGATGAAATATCTATTTCCTCTTCTGGTTAATTGACCATTCAATTCACATATGCCTGAATGAACTAACTCAAGGATTGTAGTGTTCTATCAATCATAGGAAAAGGTTTCATTTTCATCTTTGCTTGAACACAAATTTCACAATTTTCATTTTGATGATTTTTATAAGAAATTATCCCCTGTTTAGACATGCATTTCATTGTTCTATAATGTATATGTCCTAATCTATGATGCCACAAATTAAAAGATGAACATTCAATGCTAAAATTTGAAGAAAATAAAGACTCATCAAAATACATAGAAATATAAATTTTATTAATACTTAGTTTGTTCATATCATCGACAACATAGACCTTTCCAACCAGCACACTAGCCTTAGATAGAATCAGTTTATCAGATTCTATCACAACTTTTATTCCATTTTTATATAGCTTGAATCCAGAAACTAGATTTTTCCTAATACTAGGAACATGAAGAACATCTTTAAGTACAACTTTCTTTCCATAAATAAAGGTTAATTCAACAGAACCCATTCCAAACAACTTTGAAGTCTGATTGCCTCCCATCATCACTTCATGTCCTTCTTGCGATTCCTTGTAGTCCTTGAACAAAGATTTGTTGTTGCAAACATGGGCTATTGCACCAGAATCATACCACCAATCTTCAGATCTTGTTACACTTGCAACATGAATTTATTGTATCAAAGAAATATGCAATTTTGATACTATAGCAGTAATTTCAGTGGCAAGATATGGTTCTCCCTCTTCAACCATGTTTGCATTTTCTCTCCCATTTTTATTGTTGTTCCGTTGACTCTTCTTCTTAGGATTCTTGTAGAATTTCTTAACATAACCTTTGTTACCACAATTATAACATGTGATTTCAGATAACGGCCTTTTTCCTTTCTTGTTTGTGTTTGTAGATGGTGATGAATCAACCTTCCTTTTTTTTTGCCTTTATTGTTTCTAGATTCAACATTGTTCACTTTGGAAGTGGATGCACCATCCAGATTCTTTTCACGAATTCGAGTTTCCTTTTCAATTTGCAAATTTTTTAGAATCTTATCCAAAGAAAAGTCTTCAAAATTATGCATTAACTTTTTCCTATAATTCCTCTAAGATTGTGGTAATTTGGTAAAGATAGCCCCAACCACTAACTTTTCAGGAATTTCAATAGTGATATTCTTGAATTTGGATACAAGAATTAGAAATTCATGAACTTGATCCATGATTGACACAATACCATTCATATTGAATTGAAAGAACTTGGAAGTTATGAACTTATCCGCCCCTTTTTTTCAGCATTGTACTTATCTTTTAAAGTGTTCCTGATTGCCTTGACAGATGTCATTGGAGAGTACAAATCATAGAGATGATCAGTAAGGGTGCTAAGAATATAGCCTCTACACAACATTTCATCATGTTCACACTGTCTTTGTTCTTCTTCTTTGAAAACAACAATCTGGGGTGTTTCCAGAACATAGTAAACCTTTGCAGCAACCAACATAAACTTCATCTTTTCCTTCCATCTAGTGAAATTCATTCCATCCATTCTGTCACGTTTGATAGAGTCATAACAGATAATTTTCAGAATTGTGCTAGAAGCATCCATTATAATTATCCTTAAGTTTGTAAGGAGTATAGTATAAACACATAATTTTATACTGAAAAACAAGAATGTGATTAGATCACTATTTTTAAGGATAATTAGCCCCCACTACAATCGTTGATGGGTTTGAATGCTAAGACCTTTCCAGGACCTCCTCAATCTAAGGATTATAGGAAACGATTCCTGGAAATCCTCTCATGAACAATTTTGTGATTATATTAAAGAAAATATATATGAAAAGAACAACCAATTTGAATGGTAAAGCACATGTATTTATATTGGGCATTTCTAGCTGTTATGACCCTTCATGAACAGTCACAATTGTTCATGAAAAGCAGAAAAAACCGAAATTCAGTTTTTTCCCTCCAAAATTAACTGTTAACGGAAAAGTTAAACTTTCTATAAATTAAGGACCAAAACTGTAAGAAATTTTATGTGCATGTGCAAAGTGTTGAATGCTAGACTTTGATTATTAATATATAGTCCATAAACTATCTATTATTGTCAAAAAAATCCCTTAGACCTATCCACCCTTTATGTTCCCTCCAAATTGCTTTTCAAATAATTCAAATGAAGTTCCAATTATAAACCCACAAAATTTTTCTTCACCCATCAATGTGGGATACTTGTCAAAATAAGAAAACAATAAATCACACAAAACATGTGATAAATACTACTTACTCCAACAGACTATAAAATGAAGACATAAGGAGGTTTCCAGCATCCGACGGATGGTTTTTGTTGCTCCTTAGAGAATAAATATGGTGATATGGTATCAAATTTTACAAGTCGTTGGGATGGGGGTGACATGGTAAATTTGGGGTTGGGGTTTATTTATTTCATTTTATTTTTTAAATAAATAATAAATAAATAAATAGATAATGACAATTTGAATAATAAAATAAGTAGGTGAGGGCAAAATAGTCTTTTCATATATGACATATGGCAGGACCAGAGACGTGACAAAAATATGATGGATCATTTGAGTTTAAAAAATAAGTTAGGTACCAAAAACGCAAATCACCCCAAACCATATGAACCATTCTTGTAATTTACTCTAATTTTTTTTTTGGAAAAAATAGTTAAATTAGCGATGGATTTCAGGTGGCTCGTATTTCTAATCTGGTGTCTTAAATTAGCGATTGATTGTTTAAACTTTGGTTTCAAAGTTAATGTAAAGTAAAATTGGACGATTTTGTCTCTAATTTCGTGGCTAAAAAGCCACAATATAATGACCGATTGTTTTATCTCACCAATCCATTTTTAATTAAACGGATTCACAAAAGAATTAAAGTAAAATAGTTTTCTCTGTTTTGTATTTATGTGTTTGAAAGTTTGTTTTGTTGTAGTGACAAAGACCCAATTTCCAGTGTCGTGAGTCTGTAACTCCGGTGAACATGAAGTTTTTGAGCAATTCCTAAAAACGTTTGGAGTTAAAGAAGATGACTCCCTCGTCGGTAGCCTTTTTAACTCCGGTTTTGAAGAAATTTAATTAGTCGGTAACCTTTTTAACTAATTTTGTAAAAAGAAAACCAATAGCTGATGTTGTTACCAGTTTATACATTATATGTTATGTTAGATAAAACTCTAGTACTCTACTATGTTCATATTTGACATGCTTCTAAATTTTCTGCATAAAATGTTACATATAGAGTTCCATATTGCTAGGTGTTGAAGATGCTCTCAAACCATTTTCTTATTTGTTACGGGTTTTAGCCATCTATTAGCTAGGAATAGAAAATTTGTTACGGGTTTTTGCCATCTATTAGCTAGGAAGGTTTCTTAGGGGGTTTAAATTTTGTTTCAAAACTTTTTTAAGATTATTATATAAAACCATCTAGATGTCTAATTTTTTATTTTTTTTTTTATTTTTTTTACTTTCTCTTTTATCATCAATTTAACTTTTTAATAAGAGTGTCATTTTCATTTTTTTTTTCGGGTTTTCACTTTATATCGTTGTTTTCGTGTGATGTTTGATTGTCTTTATTCCGCATTGCTTATTTTATAACACTAGGTGGTGATCAATAAATTTATTTGGTTGAGTATAGATATCTATATAAATGAAAATTATCGAAGTAGGTCATTTATTTCTGAAATGATCAATAAGTCGTTTAGCAATTAATTCTTTTCTAATTACAACTTTTTTTCTCTATCGAGTGTAAGTATCCATATATATGTTGCATTAGGTTTTGGTATCCAACATTCAAGTGCACAGCTAAACGCACCGTATTTTATATCATTCCTACCCACACCCTTACTTCGTGTAGGATAAAACTTCAAACGGGAGAAATGTTTAACCTTCGAAACCTAACGTCCTCCGAGTATCCTGGTCTTGAAAATTATCGGGAAAAACTCAATGATATATCTTTCCTGAGTATGCTAACTCAAGATGGTGGCGACTCTCAAGAAAAGAGTCGTGATTCACTTTTCTATACAAGCTCCTTGGACGGTAGCCAATCAGGAGAGGAAGGTAAGAATAAGAAGGAAAAGCGATTACCAGAAAGGGAAAACCGGGAGGTGGAGTGGAGGCGATATAGAGGAGTTAGGCGGCGGCCGTGGGGAAAGTTCACATCGGAGATAAGAAATCCAGAGAAGAAAAAGGCGAGATTATGGCTTGGTACGTTTGATACACCTGAACAAGCTGCGTTGGCTTATGACAGAGCTGCTTTTAAGTTCCATGGTTCACGAGCCAAGGTTAATTTCCCACTCTTGATAGGCTGCGATGACCACTCCCTTATGCTGCAAGCGTCCTCTTCATCTTCTATGCAAAACATACAACGGAAGAAGAACCGTATGGTGGAGTATCCTACGACCACCACCGCCACCACGATGGCAAATAAGGTTGAGAGTGATCATGACTCTCTACAAGATCGTAAACTGTATTCGTCAGCGACTCAAGACTTCTTATTGAAAAACGTGACTAACACTTCACCTACTACCAACAGAAGCGGAAACATGGCTGAGGGAAGAAAGGATAATGGCTACTTATGGTCCATTTTCATGCAAAACACGGTGCAATCTCCAACTTCCACCGCTACTAGTACAGTAGCTGATGCGGTAAGCCACCGTGATCCAAAGTGGGATTCCCAAATGAATACTGTTGCAAGTGAGGGACTTCGATTGCCTGTGGTGCAGCCACCGCCTGTATCCACCACGGCAGTTAGACCGTCCGGAGGGGGTAATGAGCATGACATGTTATGGGATTTTCAGATAGATACATTGACAGATGATGGCTTTCTTTTGCTTTAATGCTCAAAATTTACTAAAATTTCCTTCTTTATCGAGAAGGCATTTAATAGGAATCGTTATTTCTTGTCATTCACGAATTTCAGTTTCGATATCTTATCATTTTCTTTATCGTATTAGACCAAGCTCAAATACAGTACTACAAAAGTGGGATTTTACCTAGGGAAATCAGAAAACTTCCTTTGGTAACCGACGTATATACCCTTGACAAAAATAAAAACCCAATTATACCAATGGAATTACGACATAACAGTGAGGGAATTGAAATCCTTCAATATCCGTCGATAATTTGGGACGGCATACATATGGAATTTCAAAAACATATGTTTTTTTTTTCGTCGGATGTTACAAACATATTTTCGACGGAATTTAATTCCGTCGTTGTTATTATTATTATTATTATTATTATACTAATTATTGTTATTATATTTGTGCTATTATTCGCTCGCTTACCCATTTCTCGATCCAAACCATTTATTAATAGCATAATCATCTTTATGCAAACCCCAACATCCTTTATCCGCCATAAATTTATAAAAATGTCATTTTTTTAAATGGATAAATTGCAAGAAATATAAACATACTCTCTTCTTTTTATCAATATAATCAATAGACGTTATCTTTTACCCAGAATAATAACATAGTTGCACTTTTTTAGCAATAATAGCAACATACTTGCATAAATTTATATAATTTAATGATAATAGCAATATGTAAAAAATAAAGAGTAAAGTATATTGCCTATATTGTTCAAAAGAGTAAAATGGGAACCAACCTACAAATAAAGATGTAAATCGGATGTATTTGGAGTTTCTTCTTATAATATCACACATACATACTTGTTTATCTTTGGATCATCTGTCACTTTTTTTCTGTTGATTTTTCGAAAAAGAAAAATATAAATTAGAAGGTATTTGTGTTTGATTCGAATAATGTTAGTTCATTGCGTTAAACCAAAGAAAGTCTTTCATGGTGATTGTTAGAGGAAAAGGGATCAAACCGCCACTAACCGTAGAGAGCGTGCCATTGTTATGGATTGATGAAGATGATATTCACAAGGTCCGTAGTCCAATTGTGGTGTATACCAGGAACATTACTGAGAACACTACTAACACTACTCGGAACACCACCTCTAGATGAGAGTCCATATCACCAAGGTCTTGTAGAAACTTTGTAATTATTTTAATTAGCATTATTATAGTTCACTGTGTCTATATAGTCTAGGAACTATTATTGTCATCAACTTTTTATGTTAGATCTGTATCTGTCTTCTTTTCATTTCGAGGATGTAAATAGGCAAATTTTTTGTTGATAAAAAACTATTTCCACCATATAGCTTATCATCCATGTTCATTATCATCATTAAGTAATAAAGAATTGAGCTCTATGGATCCTAACGAATAGTAGATTATGCTTATACCGATCTTATACCATAGTTAAAATTACAAATCAAAATCAAAGTGTTACTTGTTCATCTATAATCGAAATTGACATCCTGCATTAGAGCTTCAGAACCTCTTTTGCCCATTCTGATAGAGATAAATCCTGCCCCCATTCAATCTCAACAAAACTGTGCCTTCATTACTGATGGGTTTTGAGCATTCTAACACTCCTATGGTGTGCATGCAACCCAATGTGCATTGGATCTATGTTTTCACTATTATACATGCAAATATACAAAATTCCAAAGCATCATCCTAACTAGCATATTGTGGAGCAACTATACTACAAGATTCTAGTTAGATGACATACCTTTTGATGGAGCTTGAAGTCTTGAACCTTTAAGAGCTTATCCCCAATAGTGTGGAAGCCTCAAATGGAATCACAAATCACCAAATCACCAAATCAACTTGGAAGGCTTGAGAGAATAGTATACACTTGTTCAAAATCGGCTATGCCCTCTTTCTTCACACTCTAATGCCAATTTCAAGTGCCAAGGACCTATTTATATACTATGGTGGATTAGGGTTACATCCATGTAAACCCTAATACCCATGACCTTTCATTTACATAGGATCCATGGGTTAAAAACTCCATGGACTATCCATGCAAGCTTAGTCCATCCTAAATGATTATTGGCCCATTATATATATAAGAGTCCATATTTAATTAGTCTCTTTTTGATTACTAAATTAATTCCAAATTAATTCTTGATCAATACTAATTAAATAATATGATTTCATATTAATATATTATAACTTATAATATATTAATAAATCATAAATATACCATTCTCAAAAGATTATCCATCCAAATTGTTTCGGTGAAGTGCAACCCAAATTGACCATGCTACTCTCGGGTCGAGTACATAGCAATAATAGTTATGGGCTTAGACATCTAATCTAACGGTCTCCCACTTGGATAAGTCTAAAACTATTATTCAAGTATGACTCCAAGATCCCGACTAGCAATCGTAGCTCTTAAAGCCGCTGCCGAACTCTGATCTAGTCAAATGACGTGTCCATTAGATAAGGGATCATATATTCCTCCATTCTAGATATCATATGGACTGAGACATGGATTATAATCATTCTATCTGTCCATTTGTTGTTTCCCGATTTCCGATTTATGACGACTGACTAATTGAACAAATCAAATCAGTCCAGGCTTGGCCAAGCACTTAGGGGTGTCATCACTAAATCATCGAGGGGCCCACATATATCACTTTTATCCCTCCAAGGATAAAAGGAATGGATAAACTTCGAACTAAATGTTCGCTTGTACTTACTCATCAAATCACACACAACGATATGTTTTATAACAACCAAGTTACTGGTTGCGTTTACATATGTCAATGTGCAACCAACTCGCAACTACAACTCACACGTCTCCGTTTGAAGAATATAAGATATTATCGTCTCGTGATCACTCATGATAAATTCCATGAAGTGATTCAAATGAGTGTGGGTTTAATCCAATACTCGAATCTCATTCCAGGGCACTCATGAATGTTGCAGCAACTTTTGCTATGTCTAAACACTTTAGACATCTACAAGCCCAATACATGACAGTCTTGATTCATACCTACTTCCAAAGTATGATTGACTGTGGAGAGTTTGAATAACCTAGTTATTCGGGAAGTCAAAACATGTAAAGTGAAACGCAAGACTAATCGAATCCAATATGGTCTCAGAACTTATGAATATAAATAAAACACCTTTTATTTATCACCATATTGGTTGCACATTATTCATTGCATAATGTTTCAAATAATCAACTTAATACTTGAATTAAAACAATAGTTGTCCCATGCTCCAAGCATGCACACTATGTTTTCTAAACAATAGTTATGCCATACACCAAGTATGCACACTATGTTTGTCTATGATCCTTACTTTGTGAAATAGATCAATTGAGCATGATTCCAATTATGCTCATTTCACAATCCCAAATCCTTACCGTAAATGTAAGAATATCAAATTCTTGTCATTTACTGAAATCTTATAGTTTTTAAACTCATATGTATTGGTCCTCTTGTAACAACTATGCAGAAAAGTCACAAAGACTTGGCAACAGACATTACAAAGTATTCCAATGGAGATCAATTCCATGGAAACGAAGTCTCGAATTCAAAGTACATTCCTTTGAACATCCTTCTTGCATTAAGTTTTCTAATGTTACACAGATTGAATAACTTCCACCTATGGAGACATTTCCATTTTCCCATTTTGACTATCACTTTTGAACAAGAGTTGCCTCTTTTCAGAATATGTCAATATGGTCCTTCCAAAAATTTACACCATACTTCCAATTGTCCATGAGCAACCAATCTCTGGTAGTCCTTAGATTGTCCTCGACAATTGCTTAGTCATTTCAGTCATATCTGGTTCTCTTCTTTTTTCCCTCTTAATGCCCCAAGTCATTTGGAAAATTTAGAACGGATAAGTATTATAGCACATGCAATCGATCCTATACCTGAAGCATACAAGACATGGTTCATGATGTCTCACATAAAGACATGATACTTGACCAGTCTTTTGCTACAATATTTCTTATAATTTGCCATGTTCTCATAATTCGAATTATGAAAAGGGATGTCGTAATCATAATCGAATTTTAGAACGCAAATAATGTAATCATGTCTAAATTTGATTAAAATCTCACAATCTAAGGTTTTAGATTTGAAATGAAGTATGAATTCCTCTCCCTTAATTATAGCAAAACAACTTTTTCAACCCCTGCAACTTCACGAATTGAAACTTTTGTTTTCTATAATTAACATTGCTAACTTGCAATACTAAACATAATAATCATGCTCCCACTAACATGATAATTATTATTAGCATAACACTTATGCTCCCACTAGCTTTGACATGTATTCAGAAATCATCTAGACTTCTAGAAATCAATACTTTATTGACTTACCAAAGTTCAGACTTCTGATACGAGATGCTTTGATAAGACTTTATCAAAATCATACACCTTTTCTTAGATAGCTCACATGTGTGTCTAAATAGTTTTAGAACTATGAAAAGGGATTCCGTAATCATAGTCTCAACTGTTTAGACCTTTGCCATTTCTCACAAGTCCATGTTAGTGTGCCGGTTAACCACACACGCTCCACTAACGACTTTGAGAACTCAAATATCACAATTGCTATCTACTTAAAATCTATTTAGCAAAAGCGTTTCCTCACCATCATTTTCATGAATCGAAGAGAAACCTTATGAAACTCAGTTTTTATGGTGTATGTGTTCATATCCATGTGAATTTGTCAAAACCATAATCACAAGACAAGGTTAGTGACAAATCCAAACTCATATGAACTGAACTTGCTCAACCTTATTTACTTGCCACCTGGCAGCACAAGGGCCTACCATTGCTTCCAATTTGTTATGAACACAATTTAGAACTCATAGAACTCACATACATAGACAACTTTAACCGGAATGGGCACAGAAACAAGAATATGTCAACACGAGAGGTTGCAAATCCCAAGTCGTGTGCTAGTGATAAACTACATGTTTTATTCTTGATTAGCTCTTGAAACTCTTTCAAGATCT